AGAGAGAGAGAGAGAGAGAGAGAGAGAGAGAGAATAGATGCCTTTGACCTGCACTTTAGAAGAGAGGTTTCATGTAAAATGTGACATCAACCATGATATTGAATTGTGTTGCGTGGCTGTGGGGATGGCATCTGTGTGTGAACATGTCTGCATCTGTGTGTATGAGTGGAGAGTGAACACCTTATTTATTTGTGTGTGTGTTGTGTGTGTAGGCTAGGGTCAATGCTGGATGTTTTTCTCATTTACTCTCCACCTTTGACATTTTTAATTATATTTTAATTTATCTTGTGTGTGGAAACACACAGGCCAGTGTATGTGTGGCAGGCAGAGGACAGCTTGCAGGAGCTGTCTCCTTCACTGTGTGGGTCCTGGGTGCTGATCTCACGTCTTCAGGCTTGGTGCCATGTGATTTACTCACTGAGCCATCTTACCCACTGAGCCATTTTGCCCACTGAGCCAACTTGCCTGCCTCCTACCCTTTTTTTTTTTTTTTTTTGAGACGGGGATCTCTCATTGTACCTGAAGCTCATCACTCAAGAGGCCAGCTGCCGATCAGCCTCAGGGCTCTAGCTGTCGGCACCTTCCTCCTGCACTGTGGTTATAGACACACTGGACTCCTGGCCTTTTACGGGTGCACTGGGGACCAGAGCTCAGCCTCCCGAGTATGCAGCTGGTGCTTTATTGGCTGAGTCATCTCCCCAGATCCTCCTAATTTTTTTTAGCAAGACTGCCTGGCTCTCGAGCATGGAGGCGTTCTGTCCTCCCCGGATGAGTCACAGGCGGCCAACTTTTATATGGACTCTGAGAACTGAACTCTCAGGCCTTCATGTTTGCGTGGCAAGTCCTTGACTGACAGCTGTCTAAGGCCCTGGAGAGTCGTTTTTGAAGGTTTTTTTTTTAAATATAATTTTTCTTTTAAATTTTGTTTTGTGTGTATGGATGCTTTTGCCTGCAGCTTTGTTTGGAATGTTTTCACCTGCCTATTAAGGTCAAAAGAGGACGTCACAGGTATTGTGAAACATTGTGTCCATGCTGGGAATCAAACCTGGGTCCTCTGGAAGAGCGGATGGTGCTCCTAACCTCTGAGCCACACCCCCACAGCCCCCTGAATTGTATTTTAATACACACAGCTAAGCTTCTGTTTTTAGCTGACTCAAGAGTTTCACTGGGCAGCGGCCTTGTAAGCAGCTCCGGGATCCTTCTCTTAACTGGCCTGCTGCTCATCTATCAGAATGTCCACAGGAACCGCAGGAAGGCCCTCCAGCCTTGGGGAAGTTCCTATGCTTCCGCCAGAAATACGCATGCACACACTCCTCCTTTGCTAGAGGAAGCTTGGTTGAACATGTTTTCTTAAGTGTATGTCCTGGAGGAAAAGCTGTCTCTTTAGAAGCAGTGTCCCTGTCCCTTGCACAGCTTGGGGCCAGCTTGTTCACAGTCAGCAGTAAACGTGTGAATACAAGCAAGAATGTCCTCTCAACTGGACATATTAGAGAAATGACATATTTTCAGCTGTATAGCTCAGTAGTAGAACACTTGCCAAGCATGATCAAGGCCTTGAGTTCAGTCCCCTGTGCTGCCGAAATCAGTCAACCAACGAACCAACCAACCAACCAACCAACCAACCAACCAACCAACCAACCAAC